TTAGTAATATAAACTTTTACTTAAATTCAATAAAATTATCTGGGACAAAGAGACAAAGGAAAGAATTCCATAGTCAGGTTAGGTTAATTTCTTATGGTTTAGCTTAACCTGCTCAGAGGCTCGGATCTCTGTTGAAAAAGACATCAACCCAGATGATATGCTAATGACTGGACATGTGCTTAGAAAAATATAGAGAAATAGCTCTTGAATACTGCCATTGCTGACAGCTCTCACCCTATGGAAGCGCTTGTACTTCTCTGTAAATGCCCTGCAAGAACTTGCTAGTAAATGTATACAGGCCAAGGATCACAACAGCCAAAAAGATGCTGTAGCACCTTGTATATATACAGTCTACTGGCTAACTGCATCCATGAACTTGATGATCTTTTTGCAGTCTCATTTATTTCCTAGTAATTTTGTGTTGAAGCTACATGCACTAGGACTCCGCTTTTTTACTGTACATGAAAAGGTCATTTAAGTGCATACGCAACATGTTATCCCCTCAGAGAACACATAACTTAATAATGTAATAGCTTTTATCATCTTTTCTCTTGTGTTTGAGCTATTTTTCTGGTACCACTGCTGTTAGACATGGCTTAAACATGAGTCAAGTGTCTGACACTTGCTGCATTTCCCAAGAGCCTGTTCTATCCCTCATCAGGACAACACACCTTTTTGAGTGTCAGCTGCTCACAGACTGTCTTTCCTGAGTTACTATAGATAGAGGACACCATGTATGAAAAGTAATACAGTCTGTGACAGCTGATATGAAAGCCAAAATTAACAGGAAAGAGAGATAGCTTTTTTCCCCCCAGTTTGCCTTTGCAAGCAGAAGAGAAGAGAAGTGATTCTACCAACACATAGAAAGCTCTCTCTGCTCAGAGACCACTGCTGAGTGATGTTCTTAGAGGCTGCCTGGACCTCTTCCTGAGCATTCAACTCCACTCGACAAAAGGTGATGGCGGGAAGTAATACAATTGTCGCCACTTCATTCCTTGCCCCTTGCACCCATTATGCATCATCATCTTCCACACTCAGGGAAGCAGAAAGACAGCAATTATCTTTCCCTTATCTTTTTTTCCACAGCATTGTTGCTTGTTCAAAGCAAATAGATAAAAAAATTAATTCCCTTCTGGAAAACTTCCAGAAAGCATGGTAGCCTGCATAGGTAAATACTTTAGCTTAAAAAATGGAATCAAATGCCTTTCCTGCTCTCCAGATGCAATCTATTAGTTACAACACACAAACCACGCCAGGACTTGCTTCCCTTCCTTTCTTAAGCTTTCAGAAAGTCACTATCCAATAGCTGAACCCCACGTAGACACATGCCCAAGGGTGAGAACAGGACAGACACACAAAGCCTTACGGGTCAACACTGTCAATAGGTCCAATTTAACTTAAAAGAAGTAGTATATATTGAGTTGTGAAACACACTACCTTTAATCATCTGTTGTTAGAGTTAGTCACAAAACCCCATGTCACTTAAGACCTGTTGGATAGAAGCTTTTAAGCTTTTCCCCCTGCCCCCCAAAAGGGGACATTTATTTCGTCATACATTACCTTTTTGTTCAGACATTCTTTTGATCTTCTTACCCTAACCCAATAGCTGATTTTGCTCCAGTCCAGCTTTCTTGGCACAGTCTTGGACCAGATTAAGCTGATCACCTCACCAAAGCCTTAGGTTTGGGTATCAAGACTGGTGACTAAGAGAGCAGCAGCTACACTGAACTGCTCTCTGGAGTCCTCTGTCTCCCCTGCCATACAGAGGAAGCAGAGCTAACTGTAACCCCACTAGGCAAAACATTCATCTCCATGAGCATTTATGAATCTATTGTTTTTCATGGCAGGCTATCAGAGATGAGAAATATTGAATGACCAGACAGCGCTCTAACAGAAGATGATAGTCTGCTGGCTGTCATCTTTCACTTACCCGTATCTCTAGTTCCACACTGTTTACTCTCTACCTCAAAAAAGCAATAGCTAAACATTTCACTGCTCCAGTGTTTTAGAAAAACAACAATTCCTGTGGTTAGCTTCTAAATATGGGTGATAGCTCAGTTATTCCACTTAGATGAGAGGCAAGCACTCACCTTATAAGCACTCTTCTGTCTCCTTTAAATCTGCAGTTCCACTATACAAAGCTGTTAGCAACAATTCTAACCTTTTCTTTCCATCACCTGCCCCTTGTATCTGTACCTATTCAGTGGTGTACTACAACAACTATTTGCACTAGCCACTGCCAAATCTGTAAAATGATTCAGGCAAAAGATTTGCCTTTAAAATAACCAACCTTACAAAATTTTTTTCCTTTTTTTTTTTTTAAATAGGATTAGGACAAAGATTTCTACCACTGTACTCAGGAGGACAGTGAGCTGAGATCAGGGTCAAGCAACAGAAATTAAGCTAATTCTGCTTTTGAACACGCTGCACTGTAAAATTATGGCCTAAGAAGATACAGAGACAAGAGAGGATACAGTGAAACCTGTCTCCACAGAAGCAACTATCCGCTGGTGTAGGATCCATTCAGAAACCAAAACCACTTATGGAACTTGCAGCTTACTGAGGAGTCCAAGGAACTGAATGTAACAGTTGAATGCCATTATCCCATCACTTCCCTCCTTATACCCCCATTCACATACCTGAACCAGGAAGGCATTTTAATGTCTCAACACAAACAAGGCACACAGAAAATCTTTGTAATACTTAAACGGCAATACACACTGCAAAGGTATATAAGACTTCAGGATTTGTAAAAAGTAGCTGGAAATTAATCGATATTATCTAAACAACAACATAACTACAAGTGTGCATCAAGCATCGTTTCATTATGCCATTCCCCAAGATCAACTGTAGTCCGAAGAAACAGGTTAGAACAAATTTGTGTGCTTCTGCTCTTTTTTGCCACTTTTCAATCAAGCAGGATTCCTAATTTCTGAAAATATGTAGGAATATAAATCCATCAGTTTCATTTGTGCTTTTCAATTTTATGCTGCTCTGGGTATTATAATTTAGTGTTATGAGTACTCCTAATATAAACTGCTGTCACATACAGTAGAGCATTTACGGAACGTATAGCTATGCAACAAACATTTTCACATCTCACTGCTCCTATCAAGAATTTTCCTTTGATAGGTTGGCATCTAGTTTTCACTTTGTGGCAGGGTCCTTGAATTCTTTACCTTATTTTTGGTTGTAAGCAGTTCTTCACATTTTGTATAGCATTTATTTTAACCTTAGGTGAACTGGGTTTTGTTGCATGCATGGCACATGATCTAGGCAGGGAAGAAGGAGCCTTCCTGCTCCACCTTGTGAGACATGGATGAAGGCTGACTCTCAGGGAAAAGCAGGGCCCCCAACGAGCTGCTGAGGTGACTCTGAGGTGACACAGTTCTCAGCCGTGTAGATTTTCCAGAGATGATTGTTTAAAAAGTAAAACAATCTAGACCCCCACAGTCACAGCTACAGATAGTGAACACTGCAATTCTTTGCACTTTTAATACCACTGAAGCGTTCTCAATATTTAGCCACATAGAACTTGTATGTGAAATCTATTTTCAGAAAGACAGTAACAAGGAATCTTATAGACCTCGTCTGTCAATTTTGCTGACCCACTGAGCACTCTAAGAAATGTTATTTGTTCTTCTTATTGATCTCAGTTCTAATTTCTTTAATGTCTTGTGGACAGTAAAATTAAAGTATCATGCAGGCAGCACACTGCTTGTGAACGACGACCTGGAAAGTCATTGTTAAAGGTAATGCAAATAGCAGTAATATCAGACCTTTCTAACGCCTCCTGTTGCAAGATGGAGTTCTGTTGTTCGGACCTCTGTCAAAAACTTTACCTGTTCCATGCTTCAGTATGTCTCATTATTTAGACTGTTGATCCACTAACACTTTAAACTGGAATAAGCTAGAACTGCCCCTGCTCATTTCTGCTCTTCCTTTAACCTGACACAAAATATTTGAGCATCTGCTCAAATGGACCACAAAGCTGAGATAGCCTAGCAAAATGTTTCAGTTTTTATTCCAGATCAGTTCCAAGTCTGGTTCATTGAATGGCGAGAAAAACTCTTATGATGACCCAGGGAGGCAGACAACACAGGGAAAGCAGTGATCAGCTGACAGTGGGAGGAGCACTGCTTCTTTCTTTCAGTGTCCTCCATTCATCCCTGAACCTATTCAATTAACTAAACACGCAGAAAACTAAGCCAAAGAGTGGGGCTTCTTGTTTCTCAATTCAACACAGGGTTCAAGACAGCCTGTTTCAACAAAGTAGAGTTCCAGAAGAGATGGAAAAGAGATGAGAGCAGCCCCACAGCTACAACAGGGGGCTGGAGATGAAGGAGTAGGAAGGATTAGAGGCAAGGATGGATGGAGAAAGTGACTTTCAGTTCTGGTGAGATGTTCCTTTTATTTGAAAGAAGCTTACTTTACCATGCATCTGCCATTAATGAACATAGAAAAGCTAATAAATACCTGCATTGTCTTTAAAATATTATCCTTTAAAACATCACTTTAAATGAAAGCCAATCAACCAACACGTGCACTTCTGAAGCCTATACATAACAACCTGCTGCAAAAGATTCTAGAATGTTATTTACCCCTTTTGCATTATTAATAGATTATATTCTTGTTTTGTAGGAATTTGCCAAAGATATTTCTGGTTGCCTTTAATATCTACATTTTTTGTAGGCTAAAATCCTCTTTTCTGACCACCAATGATTCATTGAGAAGGCACACATATTTGCAAACTGGTTTGGCAGGCTACAGTATTCTTCATGTTTTTTCTTTCAATAGAATAAGAAGATTTATCATGCTCTGTACCACCACAATAATGGAAACATATGTCTTATGGTTTTACATGTTTATAAAACTTCCAGTCACATTCTTGCTTAAAGTAATTGTATATGTATCACAATGTCATTCAGAAATTTTAAAAAAATTAAAAAAAAAAAATCAATAAATGTTATGAACATGTGTGATATGACAAATTAAAATACCTTAGTTTGCTTTCTTGTATGCTGAGACCACTTTCCATGGATAACAGACTATCATGTGAATGTCTTACACCTTGGAGAGGTGTCTCTCTGTGCCAGCCTCTGCAATCTAAATCTTTGTGGGCATCTGCAGAGAAAGAAAAAGCTGCTAGAAATCTTTCAGTCCATTTTACAGAAGGAACTTCTAAAAGAGGAAGTACACATTAAATTAATGAAATTAATTCATTAAATTCATTGTAATAGGGAATTAATCAAGTCAATCACAAAACCTTATTAGAATTAAATTACTTTTACAAGAACAGCAGAAATAGAGTTCCAAGATCACCTTCTGATTGTTGCTCTGAAAACTTCAAGAGGCCTAAACCAGCTACCTTTTTGTTACACAAACTTGGAAACAGTTCATTTTACAATCAAAAAATGAGCTATTGCTGAATTGGGAAGAAAATGGATCTCTTAATTTTCCAGTCCAACTTCAGCTCTTAACTGGCCATGTATTTCTTACGTGTCCATGCACAGCATTCCAAGATGTGTGGGGGGGTTGTTTTGGTTTCGGTTTTTTCTTTGGGTGATTTTTGGTTTTGTTGTTGGGTTTTTTTGTATTTTAAGTAAGGAATCAGGTTTTACTGTAATTCCACATGCTATTGGCCTAGAACTGACCTTTTTTTTCAAGTTCTTATCTCTTTGGAGAAACCTGGCAAGTGTCATCTGCAATTGCAGGTACAAACTGATTTCCTGCAGAACATTTTACTCTATAAATCATCCTATTGGCTTTAGTGAGAGGAAAGGGTTCATGATCTGGCCCTCAGTGTGAGGAAATTTTCTTCCATACTGGTTAGAAGAATTTGTGTACCCATCTCTTTTCTTCCATTTTTGATGTTTTGGTTAAATATTAGGAACTATGTTTTGATTTATTTCCTCTCACACTGTTTACTCACACCTGGTTAGCTGCCAAAAAAGTAAAATTTATGTTGTATCTTTTGCTCAAAATAAAAGCAACACTGTTGAGAAACAAAGAGAAGATAAAGATAACACTTTGGAAAACAACAGGATCTTGTGGTTTTCCTACTGCATAAGTTAATGCCAACTTTTAGGTTGTAAGTATATGTGAATTATTACACTAAGGTGCTCTGTTCTTAGAATTTTATACTCTGGTGTATGAGTTTTCCCAATCACTCTGCTATGATTTTTCAGGACCTTGTTTTAGGCTGATCAAAACTGTATCAGAACAATTCATTTTCTCATTTGCTAATCCCTTGGTGTATCAGTGAAATAGCATGGTGACTAATGCAGAAACAGGGATTAATCTAATCATTGTTACTTCATTCTTGTTAACTTCATATCCTTATTTGCTAATCAATGTATATGGCAAAAAGTGATAGTGAGTTGAATTTCAACCAAGCCTCAGAGGTGAATACCTCCATGGCATTTTCCAAAATTACTCACCAGGTTAAAGTCCTGTTGACTTTCAGTAGGCTACTTGGCAAAATGAGATCTTAGTTCCCAAGTCACACAAATTACTTTCAAAATTATAGCTATTACCAAATACATTCCACTTAAGTAAAATAATCTTCCATTTCTTTAGCTTACACTTTCTATGTAAGGTATAACTGAATGTTAAGGAACATGATATATGTCTCTCAGGCTGGATTTAAGAAAAAATAAGTGATGTCCTTTGAATTTTCTTGTCTTCTCTTACAAGAATGACCTAATAAATTTGAAGCAAAATTACTGTATTTCATAACAAAACCTGACTATCCTTTAAAAAACTTGACTCTTAGAAACATTAAAAATGTTTGCAATTCAGCTGTAGTATTCATCTAGAGTCCGTATTTTATTACGGTGAATTTGCTTGCAGAATTTTAAATATATGAGAACCTCATTTTACTTAGCGGCCTTTTAATGGAGCTCATGGAGCTTAATGGAGATAGCAATGGTGAAATGACAACTTTGTTGGTACCACAACTAACATTAGATGATACTTCTAGAAGAAAGCACTCATGAATTAACTGATGATATGAACACATTTCCCTGTTACTACATGCAGTGCTTCAAGCCCAAATGAAGCCATATTGTTAAAGCAGGATGGAAGGCTCTTATATTTCTGCCAAGTATCTGGCATTCTCAAATGGACATCTTTCAGGAAATGTGAAAAATAACTGCAGTCTTCTACCTTTCCAAGGTCATTTGTCATAACAAAGAGGCTGTACTGATTCCAATAGTCAAGGATAAATTCTCAGCTTGTCACAGCTGAGCTGAGAATTGTTCAACAGAATAAGCAATCAAAATGTAATGCCTTAGTCAAACTCCAGGCAGAGGGTAAAGATAAACATGTGGTAATGCTTTTGAATTCCTCCCTCCGAACAGAAAACTATAGTGTCAGAGTGACCTCTACAGGATTTCCACAGCGCTCCACGACTACAGTCCCAGGGACTGTCTTTAAAACACTCTTTCAAATATATTTATTTGGAAACAGAATACAGGCATCAACCTGCAAACTGACACTCCCTCCAGCAGCAGCCTGAGATCAGTAACAACCTGAATTTACAGCTTATAGAAACTCTAATTGTGTGTTTACAACAGACTTGCACCAGGTTTCTAGATATGAAAACTATGTAAGGACACACTTTAAACATTCTGCTGATTCAAAAGAGGTTTCAAGAAGAATTTATCGCACATAGAATAAATACAATTTGTACCAATTTTCGTCCTTTCATAATGGGTATTCCACTGCTACTGCACAAACTGTTGTCCTTTTCTGTCATCTTTATAAACCGCTCCTTCTTTGTACTACTATTCTCTTTTTATACTTAAGGACTCAGCCCATTTGACATAGGTACACTTTCCATTATGCTTAAAGGAAATAAAATTATCTCATAAGTGAGAATAATCTAGATGGAGGCACATGTGAATAGCAAGAAAAAAGTTCTTCCATCTGAATTTTTACTCAGACAACTGCAAATTGCTTGTGGCTGCTGGGGAAAAAATACCAAACAAACAAAATACAAACAAAAAACAGGATGTGACTAGGGCTTAGGCTATCTTTTAAAATGTTTTATTGGCTAAGAAGTAGTAAATAATGAGTAATTTTTGTAAAAAAAAAACAAACAACCAAACAAAAAACCCCACAAACAAAAGGATGTAGGCCCTGTTGTGACTCATAAGATTCCACAACAGTCCACGGTTACCCTGTGAAAAGGTAGACATTCTACCACATGTATTAACAGGAGTGTAGTCATGTAGACTACACCCAGAAACATCAGAAATAAGTAGTCTGCCCTAATCAGCATTAGCTGTATTGCCAAATTCCGTTTCAGACAATGCATTTCAGAAAGAACACTGAACAGCTGAAAAGCATATTTTTGGTATGACTTCTATTCCTCCCTTTCAAAAGATAAATAATGTTTCTCATTCACATCTTCACGTTTTTTACTTTTATTCTTGTATACATTTTAGGATTATTCTTTTTAGCCATAGTTCATTAGACTGTTTATTAAGCTAATATTAAGCTAATTTATCTTTGTGAACTTATTTGGCATATTGGACCATGTCATATAGATGGACTGATAATCTTGATAAAGTCAATCTCTTTGTATTATATCTGGAAATAATGTGAGGTGATGCATTATTTAATGTTCAGTTTCCATTTCCACCTTCATATACACTAGTTTCGTACACATATATGCAGCTTCCATCTTCATATCTCCTATTCATAAAGGCAGACAACCTTTGCTAATAAGATAAAAATGCTGTGAAGCCCTAGATTTTACTAAAAGCTGGTCAAAGCTGACGTGATACAGAGCTATAACACACAGGCTCTAGCAGATTGAGCCTTAAGGAAGTACTTCTTTCTTTAGCTCTACGATCCACATGTGGATGAACATTAACCAGTAAAATAATTCATCCAGCTCCTCATGGGAAGTGGCTCTCAGTGATTCTATTATTTACCAATATGAATTATACAAATGCTCCAGTGATGAATAAGCATTTAAGATTCTATACAAAAATTACTATTTTCCACTGTATTTCAGGAAGTTAAAGTGGAATAGAATGGTTGGAAAGCTGGAGCGAGACCTCAATCCATAACTCACCAAACGGTAATGCAAAGTAGACATCCAGTAAGATCTCATGTGAAGTTGGTGTTTTTGTGCCTTGAATCTCACTCCCGTTTTTTATTACTTCAGAATGCAATGTCCACCAGGAACCTGGACCTTCCTAGGAAAAAACGTTCTGACAGTTACCTGGGTAGGATTTATAGCATTATCCACTTCTTCCTGAATGAAGGTTCCCCTAAGTCAATAGAAGTTTCTTTATGACACCAGCAGGCTTAGGATCTATCCTAGATTCTTCCAACTTTTGTTTATGTTAAGTAGTAGTTAGGACTTCATGAAGTTTTTTCACAGGCATGGAATTTGAAACCATAAAATATTTGCTCTACTATGTAGACAAATACACATTAAGATGGTCAGATGATTAAAACGCAAGAAATATGAATATTGAAAATTACTCTTATGGACTGAGATTTTCCACTTCCCCTTTGAACTGGTGCCAAACATGTACATTCCAGCAAGGCTGAAGCAATCAATATATGCTAATAACCAAGCCAGAAAAGAGCTTGCGAAGTAACACTCCCTTTTAGGTTATTTCTGAGTTATATAGCCCAGAGCAGAGCTGCAGGGTTAAGAGGAGCAGGATAAATAACTAGGAAAGTTCCACAGTGGCCTAATTATAAATGAAGGCTTAGAGGGTCTGAAGAAATTAAGAAACAATCTCTACTCTTGCATCTTTGTTTAAAATTTCAGCATTTACTGTTAAGCCACAACCTCTGTGTCAGCAAGTTTTAAGTCAACAGCAGCTAGGGTAGCAGAGCAAACCAACTTGCTTTGGGGCCTGAAATAGCGCTTGGCAGCTGTGATACAGAGCAACTTCTAATTTAAGCAGGAATTACTTTCTTCCCCTGCTTCCATTCCGAGTAGAATCATTGAAATGTCAGTTCAATAGATGAATATTTATTAGTTCTGTCCTGGTTTCAGCAGGGATAGAGTTAATTTCCTTCCTAGTAGCTGGTACAGTGCTGTGTTTTGGATTTAGCATGAGAACAAAGTTGATAACACACCGATGTTTTAGTTGTTGCTGGGTAATGCTTACACTAGCCAAGGACTTTT